CAGCACCAGAATAAACCGGGATGGCTGATGAGGAGCCCCTGCAGGCAGGCTGGGGGCAGCCAGGACAGATGGGGGACCCGTGTGCTTTCATGGGGACCCAACACCCTATGGCTGATAAGGAGCCCAAGCAGGCAGCCGGGACAGTTGGGGATCCCCCCGTGCTTTCACCAGAATAAACCAGAACGGCTGATCAGGAGCCCCTGCAAGCAGGGTGGGAACAGCCAGGACAGTTCGGGATCCCCCCCGTGCTTTTATTGGGGGCTCAGCAGCAGAATAGTCCAGAACGGCTGATGAGGAGCCCCTGCAGCCCCTGGCTCGGTGATGCTGCCCAGGACCCCCGTTCCTCCCGCCCCTCTCAGCAGCCCCACCATCCCCCCAGTGCTCCAACCCCTTTGCTCAGATCCTAAAGCCGCTTTCTTTCCTCCCCTAATGAGCTTACAGCGGCTCGGGCTCCACCTTCAGCAGCTGCTGCTGCCCCCCATGCCCAGGGACCCCTCACTTTGGGGGCTGCAGACCCTCCAGCCCTGCAAACAGCATCTCCAGTGCCCGACAGGCTGTGCCCAGGCTGTGCCCAGGCTGTGCCAGAGCGAGAGCAGCCCCAGGGGTGACAAACCGGGGGGAGTGGAGGTGGGACACCCTCACAGAGACCCCCAGCTGGCACATCAGTGCCCTCTGCCCGGTGTCCTGGCATCCCAGGGCTGCTCCGTGGGACACACAGACACAGGGACACAGCCCAGGGTCCCTGGGTGTCCTCTCTGTCCCCTCCCACAGCCAGGAGGGCAATGCCTGTTCACAACCACTCCGTTCAGAGAGCCTCTACAAGCATTTACTAGAAACATTTACTAAAGCATTTACTAAAAGCACGCAGGGGGTTTTAGGCATTCTTATTTTTAAGCTAAAGCGTGGGTGCAATCCGGGAATGGCAGGGCCCCAAGGCAGGATGGCACAGACCTGTTCAGAGAGCCTGCAGGGGGATCTGCAGCCCCGGGGGTGGGTGGCAGCATGGGCTGCACCTCTGTCCCCTGTCCCCTTCCAGCCGGGTCCCCTCGGCTGCAGCAGCACCGCCCAGGGCACCTGGAGCTGAGCTGGGCTCAGATCACAGCGTGCTCATCTGGATTATTCACTGCTGGGAAGGAAAGCTGCTCAGCCCGACACTGATGCAGCAATTGGGATTTACAGCCACAAACCAGCACCTAGCCCTCCCTCAAATCCACCTTTCTGTGGCTTCCCTGCCTGACAGCAACCTGGCAGCCACCGAGAGAGAACACAATTCTTGTCTTATGATTAAAAGTTTGTAGTCAAAACAAATCCCCCCAAAACACCAAAAAGACAAGGAGGAAAATTGCTCTTTTTATTCAGATAAAAAAAAAATAAACAATATTCAGATAATTCAGATATAAATACATATATGACTGATCTGAATATTATTTATTATTTATTATAATAAATAAATAAATAAATAAATAAATAAATAAATAATTATAGATAAATATAATTCAGAGAAAAATATTTTTTTTATTATTTATAAATAAATTTATTATTTATTCAGATAAAAATAAATAATATTGACTGACTGACGTTCTGTGCTGCATCCGCCCCCCTGCGCCGTTCAGGATGGATTCTAAAGCTCTTGAAAGGGTCAAGAGGAGTCAAAAGTGAAGATTTCTGTGCTGCCAACCTCCTTCATTTGTGGCTGTGCGGTCGGATCGTGACACAAAGTAGTCCCACTCGGTGCTGTGAGTGCGGAATGCGAAAACGCGGAGGGATATCAGGTATCGCGCTGCGGAGGGATCTCTCGGTGCGCGGCTCCTCAAGTTCCGGCAGAGGGAGAGACGCGGAAGGAT